ACACACGAAAGTCCTTCGATACTGAATATTATCGACCCCAATCTGGTTTACCTTATTTCCCAACTTGTAAAACTGATTTGTATCTCAGCCCAGTTTTTCTTTTTTTCTTTTTTTGAACTGAGGACAAATCCCAGCTGTTTGTCAAAATATACCGATGTTTTTCAGTGAGAGATTGTGAAGCCTGTCACAGCACAGTGAATCGACGCCGGAGATTGGACAGTACAAATATGCTTTGTTACAACATCATTGATTTGCTGAAAGTCACCTGATCGGAGCACGACCTGGGTCACAGAACCATATTTGTCCGTATTATCAACGGGACTTTGCGAGAGAACCACACCCACATTTTCAACCATTTTTAGCGTGGAAGTTGCCAACAAATGTTGAAAAACTCGTGAATTTTATGGATTTGAATAAAATAAAGTTATCGGTTGGTAAGACTGGTTAATAATATATCCCTCGATGGTCTTCGAATTTTTAGTTCCGCTGTCGACTTTGTCGCGCGGAGCTTATCATATGAGTGATTGTCCGTCGTCGTCGTCGTCCGTCGTCCGTGTCAATGTTTTACTTTTTCGACTTCTTCTTGAAAACTACAAGCCTGAATGCTTTGATACTTGGTGTATATGTACCTTGGATAGACCTCTCTCAGATTTGTTCATTTCATGATGATATCTTCAATTCTCTAATTTTGGTGAATATTTTTGTCATTTTTAGTAAAAAGTGATATTTTCGACTTCTTGTTGAAAACCGCAAGTGCAATTGCTTTGATATTACATATATAGGTACTACATTTGGACCTCTCTCAGATTTGTTCATTTTGTAATGATATCTTTAATTCTCTAATTTTGGTGAATATTTTTGTCATTTTTGGTAAAAAGTGATATTTTCGACTTCTTGTTGAAAACCGCAAGTCCAATTGCTTTGATATTACATATATAGGTACTACATGTGGACCTCTCTCAGATTTGTTCATTTCATGATGATATCTTTAATTCTCTAATTTTGATGAATATTTTTGTAATTTTTGGTAAAAAGTGATATTTTCGACTTCTTGTTGAAAACCGCAAGTCCAATTGCTTTGATATTACATATATAGGTACTACATGTGGACCTCTCTCAGATTTGTTCATTTTGTAATGATATCTTTAATTCTCTAATTTCGGTGAATATTTTTGTAATTTTTGGTAAAAAGTGATATTTTCGACTTCTTGTTGAAAACCGCAAGTCCAATTGCTTTGATATTACATATATAGGTACTACATGTGGACCTCTCTCAGATTTGTTCATTTCATGAATGATATCTTTAATTCTCTAATTTTGATGAATATTTTTGTAATTTTGGTAAAAAGTGATATTTTCGACTTCTTGTTGAAAACCGCAAGTCCAATTGCTT